AAGGGGAGTGCATTTCAGTTAGAAGGACTGGCATGAACAAACAGTATAAGCCATACTTAGGGGAAAAGCAGATGATCCCAAATGGCAGCTGGAACAAACAAAATTGAAGTGTAAGGAGTGCAGGATAAAGTGACAGTAGAAAAGTAGGATGGAAATATACTTGTCAAGGTCCCAAATATTTGTGAAGTGAGAACTGTATACCAAAGCAATGGGAAACCATAGGAAAGCATTCAGCCAAGTGACCTGTGTGAAGGATACTCTATTCTAGCAAGTATAGAGGTAATGAGAAGTCAGACTAATTCAAAAGGGAGTGAATGAAGGCCTGTATTCAAGAGAGGATAAGAAAGATATTTCATTGGCAGATCTAAAAGAAAGGTAACAAACATTTTAATGAAAGGGGAACAAATATGAAAAAGAGAGGCATGTCAGAAGGTCAGAACCAACATCAATGAAAAAATAGGGACAAATGTGAGGACACTAATTCAGGGCATACATAGACTACCAAACATTTTGAAAAATACACAAACAAAAGTAGACAAAATAGATGATTGGGACATACTAAAAAGTAAAAACTTACGTGCATCAAAAGACTTCACCATAAGAGTAAAAAGGGAACCCACAGAATGGGAAAAAATCTTTTTCAACGACACATCAGACAAGGGACTTATTTCTAAAATATATAGGAAACTACAACACCTCTACAAGAAAAAGACAAATAACCCAATAAAAAAATGGGCACAGGCCATGAACAGACACTTCATCGAGGAGATCTGGGCAGCCAACAAAAACATGAAATGTTCACGATCACTAGTCATTAGACAGATGCAAATCAAAACAACAATGAGATATCTCACACCAGCAATAACAGCAAACATCAAAAGAGTAGCAGAAAATAAATGCTAGTGAGGATGTGGAAAGACTGGGATGCTCCTGTATTGCTGGTGGGATTGCAAAATGGTCCAACCTCTCTGGAAAGCAATATGGCACTTCCTCAGAAGGATGGAAATAGAAAGACCTTATGATCCAGCAATTCCTCTACTTGGTATTACCCACAAGAAATACGAGCCATAACACGAATAGATACATGCACACCAATGTTCATAGCAGCACTATTTACAATAGCAAAAAGATGGAGACAGCCTAAGTGCCCATCAACTGAAGAATGGATAAACAAACTGTGGTACATACACACAATGAAATTGTGCTACCTTAAAGAATAACAAGGAAGCTGCAAGCCACCACATAACATGGATAAACCTTGAGGACATTATGTTGAGTGAAATTAGTCAGTTACAAAGAAGAAATATTGCACAGGACCACTACTGTAAAAGACTAAGAAAAAGAACCCATACTAAAGGGGGGTGGGATTATCTGCTGGTTATCGGGATGTGGGGGGTGGAGTGAGTGGAAGGTGGAGCACAGGGTGGGGAACAGACACAGGATAGTTTGGGTGCTAGGAAGGGGGGCAATACACAAGAAGGGGAAGAGGAATGGAAGTACAAGGCAGATGAAAAAACAATTAGGCAGGTTTGCATGGGCTAAGTGGGACAGAGATAAAGAATGATGTATGCACAACATTGGAACAACAGGGCTCTGGGATGCAGGGATTGAGACATGGTTGGAATGGGTAAAAGAGAGGAAATAATGTTAAGATGCTTGGCTGACTTGTGAATCTAGGTTTCCCTGGCATACCATTATAAAATAAACACTTAAGGGGGAGAGAAAGGAATAGCCAGAAATATCACCATAGAAAGCTTGTAAGTCCGTCTTCTGACTATAACTGATTGGAATACCTAAAATGGGGCTACAACATGCCCAGTGAAGGAGGCTTCCTGTGGAGCCTCTGCATTACGTAAGACCATAAGTGAAATCCTGAACCCCATCCAGAATCTTCTGAAGTGGGAAATTTCCACTTAAAAGGACACGTAGCTGCCTGCAGCAGCTAGAACAAAAGATACTTCTTGAAAGAAAGACCAACAGGAAAAATATAAAACAATAATGGCAGTCCAACTGATTAATACAAGAAGAAGCAAGTTGCTCGCCCAGGAGACATCAAGGCAAGTGGTCAGGTCCCCTCAGGGCAAACCCCAATCCAAGATTAAAACTCAATGGGAATACATGAGCAGACGTGCACTCTGATTGGTGACCACGTTAGTCACAGATAAGGAGAAGTGAGGGAAAAACAGCAATGAAGCTGCGAATTAAGCCCTACAATGTTCAATAGACTCCTGTGAACCCAGGTGGAGACCTGGTTGGCCAGCAATGTGGGACTCTTGGGCCCAGAGTCAGTGACATAGCCACAGAGGACTAGAATGGAGAGTGAAGTGTCCAGCTGATAAGAAGAGAGGGCATAAGCATAAGAACACCCACACTTACAGATAATTCCCACCTGACCTGGCTTTAATGACTGAATGATCAGAGCTCAACCAGAAGAAGAAAGAAGAGGAAATCTGATACAATTTGATGAACTTGACCTACACCTATGGATGCAGTAGCTCAAAAGAGGGAACAAATCTTTATAGTGAGGATCATTCCCATCCCCTCCATACACAGAGTAGACAGGGATGGGCAACTTGGACATTGGCTACCCAAAATGGGGTGGGGGTGGGGGTGGCTACAAAGGCAGGAAATAACTGGTTTACAACCTTTCAAGCAGGAGACTAGATCCAGTGGGTGTGGAGGAAGGTAGGTAGACTCTCCACTTAGTAGTATCTAATCTGTATGGGCAGGGCTGATGAAAGGAGATGGGGATAGGTCTCTTGTGATTGTTTCATTGCCATGGTTAATTGTTATCAGGACTGACTGCGAGGGTTGGAAACGTAAAGGTAGACATTTTGTAGCAAAAGGAGGAGAGTGATTGACTTTGTAGTCTAGGAGCGGAGGTCCATGAGACCATCTAGGGAGAAGAGCAGAGAGTAGGACGCTACCCAGAGCAGCAGTGACGCCAGAGATGGAGGCAGAGACGATGACGTGGAGAGATGGAGCAGCTGGGGACTTTAGACCCAGAGACGGAGGGCCTGTGTGCTGACGACCGGGTGGCAGGCTTGCAGGGTATACCCTTTGTTTGGTTGATGATGTATGGAGGAGATTGTAACCATGGCAGTGAAACAATATACGATAGGATGAATGTAAAGCTAATTTTCTCCCAAGTAAACTATCACATAATTCACAATAAAACATAAAAAAAAAAAAGGTCAGAGCCAAGAAGGTCCTGTGAAATTATTGGTTCAGTGATTATTTTTTCAACTAGAAAGATTTTTTCATTTAATTGTTATAAAATACATCTAACAAAATGATTTCCATTTAAACCATCCTAGGAGTACTGGTGTGGCGCGGTGGGCTAATGTGTCAGACTGCAAAGTCATTTGAACCACAAGGTCGGTGGTTCAAGCTTACCAGCTGCTCCTTGGAAACCCTGTACAGGGTTGCTATGGGTTGGAATTGACTCGACGGCACTTAACAACAACAGGTGTATAATTCAGTGACATTAAACACATTCACCCTGTTGTACAACCATCACCACTATTTCCCAAGTTTGTCATCACCCCAAACAAAAAGTCAGCATCCCTTAAGCAATAACTCCCCACCTGCCTCTCCTCCCAGCCCCTGGTAATCACTAACATCCTTTTGTCTCCAAGCATTTGCCTATTTGGGTATTTCATTTAAGCGAAATCATACATTTGTCCTTTAGTATCTTTGACTTTTCAAAGTTCATGTGTATCTAGCATGTATTAGAACCTCACTTTTCTTTATGGCTGAATCATAGTGGGTAACTTGTTGGTATGCTAACCAAAAGTTCAGCAGTTCAAATCCACCAGTCACTCCACAGGGGGAAAAAAAGATGGCTTTCTGCTCCCATAAAGATTTACAGTCTCTGAAACCCTACACAGTGTGGCTGAGTCACTCGATGACAGGTGAGTTTTTAAATTTCTAGATTGTAAACATTTCAAAATTATAAATACTCTTTTTTAATCAAGTATTACTGATATAGTGAAAAGTAAAAGGTGTGTCCTAACAGTCTAAGTCCTGCTTCCACAGGCAGCCCTGTTAATACCGCTGCATCTCTGTAGCTATGCTGTTATTTCAAGTGCTCTGGTGGCTCCATATGATAAACACTTGACTGCGAACCAAAGTCCCCAGGTGGAGCCACCAGATACCGCAGCTTTCTGCGGCTTCGAAGATTTATAGCCCCTGGGAATCCTATAAAGGTCTCTATGTGTTGGAACCAACTCCACCACTTAAAATTATTCCAGTGTTGGGAAGGGGAGAGCCGATAAAAGGGCAGTACTTTAAAAAAAAAATTATACATAAAGGAATCATAAACATCTACAACTTTCGTTTTCTAGATTACAGATCTTTCCATGCCAGCTATATATAAATCCACCTCAATGTTTTTTGCTGCCACAAACCGGTATTAATTTTCTTTGTATAAAGTACTTTTTTGTGTGTAAGTATACCTGTATACTGAATTCCTGAAACAGGAATTACTGAATCAAAAGGATGTGAATTTAAAATGTGGACGAATCCGGCCAAACTGTCAGGACACAATGCCTTTTAAAGAGAAGGTAAACAGGGACCTATACACGTGGTTGGGGAGTTCTCAGTGCGGACGAGCGACCATTGTTTTGCTCCTGCAATTCCTATTTCAAGGCAAAGGCCAGTGAGACAAACAAGAGGCATAAACGAGCCCGTAGACACACACCTCCAGGCTAGACTAGAATCCTGGCCTCCCGCTTCTCAGCTCAGTGTTCTTGTTAAATGCTGTCGAGTCGTTCTGACTCAGCGATCCTTATAGGGTTCCCAAGGAGCGACGGGTGAGTTTGAACCACCAACCTTGTAATTAGTAGTCCACTGCTTATCCTATAGCACCACATCCTCTGAAATTCTGGCTATTTTCTGTCTTTCCTGCGACTGGGAAAGTCACTCCCCTCTCCCATGCACTCAGTCCCCATACTTGGGGGTGTCTCTGCCTGCTCGAGAGAGCTTCAGGATCCTCTCACCGATGGTTCTGGTTCAGCAAGGAGAAAAGCGGGCCAAGGCGCATCTCCGCCGTTTGGTCTCGAAGTTCGCTGAGCGGCACGGCTTGCAGCACCGAATGCAGCGCGCGCAGTTCCTCCAGCGGCGCTTCTAACCGCGACACCTCCCGTAACAGCGCTAGAACCTGAGCTGCCATCTTGCCCCCGTCCGCCGTCACGCCTCCCGGGACGTTTCTCCCAGCATCGCGAGATCTACGTAGGGCCGCCTCCCTCCTTTACTTATCCGCTGTGAGGGAGAACCACCAAGCGGCACCAATCACAATGTTGAGCTAGCGAACGAGCCTCACGTGACCGGATCCGGTAGTGCCGAGTCCGCGGTCACGGCCGGTTGCGTGTTTTGGTGGGTTGTCAACTTGCGCGCTGCTCAATTGGGCACGTAATCTGCCATGCCTGTCGGTTTGAGTTTTTGCCAGAGAGCAAAGACTCCCAATAACGTAACGCAAGTGAAATGATGAGGACGAACCGTAGATTAAACGGTTTCGCGGGCGCTCTCCAAGCCCAAAATTCTGGCTCTCGGCAGCGGGAATTGTGGAGGCCGCTGTGACTTTCACAGCGACTGAGGTGACACCAGGCAGAGTGGAGGCGGTGGGTGGAATTCCTGATCCCTCCCCAGACATATTTCAGAGGAGGCAGAGGTTCAGGCCCCTGGAAGACAAGATGAAAGTAATTCTTACACTGGAGGAAGGCGTGAGTAAAATTGCTGTGGCCGCCCTTTTTTTAGCGGCAATGAGTCAACGGTGTGCACTATTTAAAAAAAAAAAAAAAGGCTGTGGGAGCCAGCATAGATAACGTTTCGTCCATTTCTTCCTAGGCGCTGTGCGTGAGTAAATACGGGAGAAGGAGACTGAGTTAACCTGACTTTGAAAGCCAAACGCAGTTGATAATCAATAGGTAGAAACCGTGGGGAATGGCAAGCCAGGGACATTTCATGCGAGCAAGGGATAGTTTGAAAAGGTAAAAAATACCTACTGTCTGCAAAATGTAAGGTTGACTCGGGAAGCAAAAACGCTGTTAAATGCTGAATCTGATAACCCAAGTATTCCAAACAGCTCCATACACTAATCAGCGCTAGAGGCTTTATGCCTCAACTGGTCTTCCACCTTGAAGACAAGTTTATTTTGGGAGAGCTTGCCATTGCGTACTTTTAGAGAAAAAGACAAAAATCCAGAAAACGTGGAGGAAGCTAAGGACATGATTTCCCACAGTGTGTGTGTATGCATCAGGTGACAACAGACAAAAAAAGACTAATGCCACCAGTCTTAAGGAAAAAAACAAAACAAAAAACTACCTGTTTTTCGCGATCGCACCCTGAAGTATCAGTAACCACTGCCCTCTTTTTGGTTTGGTTTCATAATTGTTTTGCCCATCAAGCCTGAAGTTATTCAACAACAACAACAAAGAAATCTTGAATTCAGAATGTGGCTAATTGTGGACACTTCATTCTGGTTTGACCCACTGCTGACCATCACCAGGGAATCTGTAAGAACCTTGTTAAAATGTAGACTATGACTCTATATATGTGAGGGGATTGTTGTTGTTTTTAAGACTCATAGCAACCCTATATAGGGTTTCCAAGGAGCAAGTGGGGAAGGAATGCAATTTTTCAGCAGCTGATAGTACTGAAATAAACTGTTTGGAAGCCCTGCAATCTTTGTTCATCCTTATGTTGATGAACATGCTATGTTTCTACTTCTGGAAGGCACTAGCTGCCTTCAACCTAGGAATCTGAGGATAAGTGAAACATTCAGGAGGTGCTACACTAAGCATATGTTTAACCAATTTGCTGACTATCGAAAAAATCCTCACCTGTAATTTGAAATAAACGTAGCAACTTTGGTAGTAATAAAAGAAGCTGCTTTGGGAGAATGTGGTGGATGATTATGCATGTTTTCTAGAGTTAATGAAGGAGTTCTGGTAGCATAGTGGTTATGACTCAGGCTGCTAACTTTTAAAGTTCAACAGTTCAAAACTACCAGCTATTCCACCAGAAAATAATGAGGCTTTCTGCTCCCATAGATATTTACAGCTCTGGAAACCCTATACAGGGTAGCTATGAGTTGGAACTGACTCTCCAGCACACCACCACCTAGAGTTAATGAGGAAGTTGAAAATCATAGAAGCTGCAAAATAGATGGACTTTAAATTCATTGATTCAGAGGCAAGTGAAATGAATGAGCTGTTCAAGCTTCAAGTTTTGACAATAACCAAAGAACCCACACCAATAGATGAGGAAGAAGATAGTCCTTCAAACCAGAGGTAAAAATGATTCTAAGGAAGTTGACCACATTGATGCTGCAATCAACATGAATCCTGTGTCTCAGTTTGACCTTAACATATTTCAATAAGTTGCGGTATACCTATCAAGAGGTGCAAAAGAACCTTCAAAATAAAGGAAGAAAGAGGGAGAATACTCAGGTGAGGAGGAAGTGATAATGGATGAAAGAGATACACACTAGGAGTCTGAAGAAGAGTCTTGTGTCCAGATCCAAATCTAGTGAAGAGGAGAACATAAAGGCATAGGAGAAGAGAAGAAACTTCCAGAAGAGCCTAGACCTTTCAGGCAGTGACAACTCAGACGTTTGCTATAACTGAAAAATCTGCCAAAGCCATAAAATGCAGAATTAGATTTTTGGAATCTAACCTTTGCCCAGGAGAGACTAAAAAGGCCTGAATTGAAGGAAGAAGACTTTTCAGAGGCTTCTTCCAAATAACAGTTCATTTCTTGCCATCTTTCCCCTTCTATACTGCTGTCACCTTCACTGTGACCATCATGCTTATAATCACCAGTCACACATACTTTCATTTAGTCTTTTAGTGCAGACTGCACTGTGCAGAGTTTTCTGCTAAGCCCAAGATATCATCTCAGGAAATCATGTCAGGATCTGAGGTAAATAGTGTACTTTCTTATTAATGTAATAGGTAGAAAATGAGTAGACTTCAAATATAAAAGCTTTTGTAAGATCACAAAGCCTCATTTTCTCTTAACACTACTTTCCCCAGAGATCCTGAATTTATCAGTCACTCATGAAGGTTTTCTGCGTTAACCTTGGCAGTTGCCATGAAAATCCTGACTCTTGAAATAGTGACACAGTCTTACATTTTATAATGCACTCTCACATTCATAAAGAGCCTTGGTGGTGCTGGGGCTAAGCATTGGATTGCTAACTTGAAGGTCAGCGGTTTAAAACCACTAGCTGCTCCTTGGGAAAAAGATGAGGCTCTGTTTCTATATAGTCTTAGAAACCCTAATAGGGTTGATCTGAGTTGGAATCAACTTGATGACAGTGAGTTTGGTTTAGGTTTTCTTACATTCATAAGGAGCCCCAGTGGCATAGTTGGTTAAGGGGGCTGTAGGCTAGGCATTAATGGGTTGCTAACTACAAGATCAGTGGTTCAAATCCACCAGCCACTCAGAAAGATGGGATTGTGTGTTCCCTTGAGGATTTAGTCTTGGAAACTCTAAGGAGCAGTTCTACTCTGTTCTAAGTGGATGCTATGAGTAGGAATTGAAGACAGTGGGTTCGCTTTATCATTCATATTCTCTGTTAATCCTCACTTCAGACCTATGAAAGTGTTAGTCCTTTTTTTACTAAAAAGAAAAACCAAAAAAATACATAAAAACTGAGAGGTTAATTAACTTTTGAGTCTCCACAATTAATAATGTAAATGACAGAACTAGGACTGCAATTTATTTGTCAACTACTTTGCCAGACACTTTGTTAGCAGTGGCTTCAAGAATTTATAGTCCAGAGGAAGGAGACAGACTGGTAAACAGCATTACAGAAATCCCAGAGGCTGTGAACTGGTGGTATTTACAGGCTAATTTTGACTGACCAGGTGCGTGTTTTTTGGTCTCCCCAGTTTAAAATGATGTTAAATCAGTTGCCACCATCCCTGCTTTTAATTTAAATTATTTGCATCTTATAAATTTCACCAATAAAAGTGTATAGTTTGGTGACTTTTAATACTATACAATTGTGTAACCACCATCACAATCAAAATATAGAACAGTTCCCTCAATTTAGAAAGTTTATACTTGTGACCCTGTGCACTCAGTTCCTCCCCCACCTCGTCTCCAGATTTGTCATTTTAAAATTAAGATATTTCGCATAAAATGCTGAAATTAAAAATTAGAAACCCGAACAATGGTGGGTTCTGCATTTCCTGAAAGGGCAGTAGGCTAGGAGTCCTAGTGTGGCGCTGTAGGATAAGCAATGGGTTGGTAACCACAGGGTCAGAGATTCAAACTCACCCGGGGCTCCTTGGAGACACTATAAGCCTTGCAGTGAGTCTTGGAGGTACTTAACAACAAAAGGACAGTGATCTGCCCATTAGCTGCTGCTTTTCTTGTTAGCAGTTCCCTCTGTTTTGTTAATGCTGCAACAGGTGTGTGCAGAGCACCTCAGCAGAAGAGACGAATGCAGGATTGATTCTGGGAAAGGCTTCGCAGAGCCGGTGACCTGGGAAAATGAAAGAGAGAGATGGAGCCAGAGTGTTGTAACCAAGAAGGATTAGAAGCGAGCTCCGAGCTCCAGGGAAATAGCCACGTGTGTTTCACTTGACACTGTTTTTGTTGACTGTTATGGCCACTCAAGTGGAAGGGCTTCGTGAGTTGTGGTTTCTGAAGGTTTTGTGTCTCTGGGAAAGGCTTGTAGTTTTCTAGATGTACATCTCTTGCAATTTTCTGTTTGGGAGGGGAAATCGTATTTTTATGTTTGTAGCGGTTGTGAATCCGCATGTTTTTCTCGGGTTGTATGTGTCAAGCGAACTAGTGGCCTGGTGTCAATTACGCCCTTTCTTTCCCCGCCCTTTTTTCTTCCGGCCAACCGGGGCGGGGCACGGGGCTGGGCAGGGCGGCCCGCTGCAGGTGGAGGGTGGGAAAGGGCAGTTTTGGCCCTCAGTGCCCGGCCACGATACGCTAAGTCCGTTTGGGGCGGCTGCTCGCCGTCGCTGCTGCGGTTGATGTACCAGCGACGCCATGGACAAGCTGGGCTCTCGGTGCCCTCTGCCAGGCTACCCGCGACCCTCTGTCCTTATATGCCTCTTGGTGAGTACCCCACGCCACGGCGAACTCTTGAGCCCCTCATCCCCAATCTGAGGTGTGAGAGAAGGACAAGAAGAGAAGAAGGGCCAATTCTCT